TCATTTTCAGATTCTGCCTCAATTTCTCCCTCATTCTTTGTAATAATAACAAAGTGTTGTTGCAGTTAATATGCATTTATGCTGCCTTTACATTAGCACCTACTTTCATCTCCTGTTTAAGGGTACACTACACTCCAATTAAACAAAACTGTATCTTTATGTGAAACAAATCATCTGCCACACTCCTGGACTAACAACATGTACATAAAGTTTATTTTTTTAGCAATAGATGAAGATGCCTGTAGATTATCCATGACATTGCCCGGTTCACTCTGCAATGGATTATTCCACAAGCCATCAGTTTTTTAAATATGGACAGGAAATAGGAGCCAGCCAATCTGGCCATAACATTAGGTGCAAATGGAGATACTGTATGGAGTGTTCATGTTTATGTTGTTTTAAGTGTGGAATGATGTCGCCCCCCCCACTGCAAATCAATTTCCTTGTAATAAATCCAACTTACTTTTACACCAGATACGCCTCTTTTTTAAATTGTTCCTGTTTGAGGAAGTCAGAGTGGGTCAAACACTGATCAAATATTAAAGGTTTAAGGGTCCCTCCTGCCCCTTAGCAGGAGGTGGTGTTGTCAGACACTTTTAAGAGTAATCTTAATACCAGGTACTACAGTAGTGTTACTGTTTTTACAGAATATGTGCTCATATTCTTTGTAAGCATGTAAAAGGAGCTTGTGTTCCACTAGCGTCAGATAAGTTGCTCTTTATCTGGTGTTGCTATGGTGAATCGGGGCATACAAAGGTTAACATACTCAGAGTTTATTCAACCAATTCAGATCAGCTGTTCTAGAACTGAATGTTCAGTTTCCCATATTCAGAGTTCATTGTCAGACTGAGAGTTTGTTGAAACTCTGGAATACCTCTCGGGGCTGTTATAATGCTGACTGTTGCTATTCCTCAACCAGGCATCTCAGACCATCACTGGGTCCTTCACTTAAGATGTGAATGGCAGATAAGATAAGAATAATAACAATAAGAATAACTTTATTCAATTGTCTGTCAGCTCATTTATTATTTGCAAAAGAATTAAAAAGCGTGATGGCTGTAGGTATGTAGGATCTTCTGTATCTCTCTGTCCTGCATCGAAGAGAGAGGAGCCGTCCACCGCTGTTTTTTTGTTTCATCAAGGTGTTATGGAGTGGATGAACCGGGTTATTCATGATGGCCTTGAACAACACGACATCTATTGCACGTCTGTCCGTCCTGGAAGAGGGATCCCTCCTCAGTTGCTCTTCCTGAGGTTTCTACCGTTTTTTTCCCCCGTTAAAGGGTTTTTTTGGGGGAGTTTTTCCTTATCCGCTGCGAGGGTCATAAGGACAGAGGGATGTCGTATGCTGTAAAGCCCTGTGAGGCAAATTGTGATTTGTGATATTGGGCTTTATAAATAAAATTGATTGAATTGATTGATATAGTGCGTAACTTCTGTCACCTCCCAGCGGATGATGCGTTATTACAACTAATAAACCAGCGGCACTTCCATGTACACAGGGTAACACTCGCTACACACCGTGTACACAGACTAACACTCGCTACACACCGTGTACACAATGCTACACAACGTGGCGAACACCAGGCTGCTAACATTACATTACGTTCATAGCACCATTTCCAAGAAAATAATAAAGTACTAGGTCCAGTACATGTAACAGCAACTCATACTACTCATAATATAATTATAAACCAAGTCACTTACTTATCCAACAGCAGCAAGGCAACATCCATGTCTGCCCTCAGCCCAATTTCTTCCTTCAGGGCTCTCCACTGAGGAAAAGCGACGCCAATACAAATCCTTGTTTGCCTTCTCCATGGGTCACTTTCCTTCTTTGCTAACAGACCTTCAGCCAAACGTCCAGGCTTTTTCTTTGTGGTAGGATCCACTTCTGAACCGTGTCTCGGCCGCTTCCCCGCCATGTTGCTTTCTCTTTCTGCCTGCACTCTACCTCTTGCTATGAGACTCTCCGCTCTTCCTCCCCCTTCCTTCTTGTTGTGAGGAAGCATTTCCTGTGCACCAGCGCGGGAATGTCGCCGGTCTACACGCAAACTAAAAATGATATATATTGAAAAATACAGCCAGATGTTAGGAGCTGATCGGCTTAATCAGCATTGTGTCATCTCCTCTAGTAGTGGCTTGGGTGAAACGGACATTTACGGACCTGTAGAAGTTACACACTATAGCTTTAATGCCAAATTTATCATTTTCTGTGATGTAAGAGCCTTCATACATTGTCTTTTAATTTTTTCTTGTTCTCACAGACACACAATTGCTCTTATTGTCACATTCATTGTTTAAATACATAAAATGTTTAACTGAAAACCATCATTTAACATCATTGTCCAATGTCAGGGAGTATTCACAAATGGCCTACATTAATCTCATTTAGCTACATAAGAGATGCATTGCACCAGATTATAGTTTAGTTGCTAATTTATCTGCAGTCCATGAAGCTAACACAAAGCTCTCCCTCCAAAAAAAACCATCCAAAAACTTGACTAAACTTGACTAAACTTGTCTAATTACGCTTTTAGTTGTCATCCAGCCACTCAATACATGTAACTGACATTGATGTATACACAGTAATTCAATAAGAGTTGTAAATGTACCTGTGTATGGTTTATTTTAATATTTACTGTTCAAAAGCGAGCTCACTGCTGTCTGTCCCATAGAAGAACATGACAGCGGAGGCTGTGTTTGGAACTATTGAGGCTTACATGAACCACGTGACTGCTCTGGCGGCGACATCAAAGGATGTTGCCACTCTGTTCTTATCTATCGCTCTGGCAGCTGCCACAGAGGTCGGATTCTTTTCGTTCCTTTTTCTGAACACATTATGTATTGACTACTCTCAGGATGGAAGGACCATTTCACCCAGTATGACAAAAAGTGTTTCTGAACAGGATTACCAACTATAGCTTTAACATAATTAGACGTTAATGAGACTGTATTTCGTTTGATAATAATGTTTGGAATCTTGAAAGTGATTTCAATCATCTTTTTTTCAGTAAATGTTGATTTGCTTAACTTTGCAATGCTCTGCAGTTTATTGGGTCACACTAGCACTCATATTCTAATCTACAGCAATATGTTTAACACTAGACACTAGACTGACAGACCGTTTGGGTTCTTAACTCTGTTTAGATAAAACCTACAAGCTTCTCTTCCTATGACTTCCTAAAAACGTGTCTTGTATGTTTTCTGAAGCCTTTAAGTTACAAAAATGAAACACACTAGACTTCTGAGCATTTATACCTCCGACCGCGGCAGGTCGGTGTTCTCCTCCGGCATGGCATTCTGCTCCAGCCTGTGTTGCTTGCTTCACACGAGGGTGAAAAATGTGTTCTTTGCGTCATCTTTCATCGTTTCGATGTCTCCTTCTTGCAACAATAACCGCAGCCATGTGTGCGCAATTACGCATACTACAAACCGTTTGCACCTCCCTTTGACACGTGTTAAATATAGACGCAGTTTCTATTTGCAAAATTGCTTTCAGGTTTGATAAATCACTTTGCGTGTGCTAAATTAATATATTTACATTTTCTCCTCCCAGCACATGCACAATTGCGTGTAAACGCCCCATATTGCATATTCATTGCAGCAAACGTACTAACTAGATGCAGACGTGCTATTTTGCACCTTTGAAAGACGCAAGCCTTAGTGCGCACTGTTAGTAAATCAGTTTGTACATTTTTTTGCGCGTGCAATGAGTTTGCACACATTTTTATACACGCAAACCATTAGTAGATCTGGCCCTATGTGTTAGGGTCACTGTTCAAGTCTAAAACTGCTCAAAACTGTTCATTTCAATGTCTGAACATGGCTGTGCAAAAACAAAATTCCAAATAATGCAACATATATAAAAGCCTTGTAATTTGTTCATTATGTAACTCGAATTTGTCTTGCTCTGTATTCTAAGCTAGCATGTCCTTTTTATCTGTACAGTTTGTCACACCTTATTGGCCTGTGTAAATGCTGCAATAATACAATAATGAAGTCTTGATGTTCTCAAACGATTACTACTTAATTAACCCAGCCTTAGCTTGTTACTCTTACTTTAGCCACTTGTTAAAATTGGCCAAATGTATTGCCATATCAAAGTACAAACCTAATTGAGCAGAAGTATACAAGTTTCAACCATGAAGTCGGGATCCGCTGTAGACTGACCTAGCAGAGATGGTTACCATCTTGTCTTTACATGGATTAGTGTATTGTGCTTTTGCTATCACTAGATGACACAAAAAAGTGTCCACTAATGAGGACAACAGGTATAAATTAAGCTAAATGAGTATGAGTTGGGGAAAACCCAAAATGTAATGTCCTCATATGAGGATGCAGGGTCACAGGAGGATAAACCAAAATTAGTTGTGGCAGAATCAATTTCAGGGATTAAGAAATGAAGGAATGGAGGTCCTCTTTGGACACAGTTCATGGTAGGGAATAAAATAGCTAAACTGAATACATTATAGAGGCTGGAGTTGTCTGTATTCCTCCCTCTGTGTCTGTGAAACTGTTGTGAATCTGAAGCCCTCACTCCTCCCTGCATGAAATGCCGCTGCAATATCATGATGCTAACTATAAGGGTCATCTTACACTCTGCACCCTACAGTCAAACAAGGGACATCATCAGTTGTCTGCTCAATTCTCAGTGACGCTTACAACTTCTATCACATTTTATGAAATCTCTGCTGCTAAGCGCCTCCGAGTAATCGATTAAAGGTTGCCATGACAACACGTCTCTTGGCAGAGTAGTAGGATGCCCTCTCACCCAAACCGCCTCTTCACCTAATTTTCTCAAAATAGTTAGATGTTAAACACACACAGGTGAAGACACACAAACACTGCAATGTTACATAACATAAATAAAGTGTAAAGCCTCAGTGTGGCTGCTCTTGAATTCTTCACACTGCATCAATAAATAGGAGAGATGGTTTGGTGGACAGGACCAATCTGATGGTAAAAAGAACAAATTGGAACAAATGGCAATAACCAGCTTGAGTGATTAAGCGTTTTATTAATTTTTTGTTTATTGGAATAATAGCATTGCACATGACCATTAATCACATTAACTAACAGAGTTTGGTCAGGCTGGACTATGAAAATCACGTCACCCCACCAAATTTGACATACACGGGCAACAATTTCTCTCTTTTCACAATGACTCACAGCACAGGTTAGTAACTTTATTCCTGTTAAAACTCAGCATCTCATGACACACTTACACAGAGGGGAAGTGAACTTCCACTGAGAAAGGCACTAGCTGCTGAACTGTATGGTCCATGATCCTCTATACTGTGAAAAATCATATGTACAATCAAGTGATAGAAATTCTTCTCCACTGAAAAGCACCCAGTTTTCTTCTTCTCTGTCCTTCTGTTAGTAGAGATCACATCAGACCGTGGTGAAGGTGAAGCGAGTGACATGTCTGTATTCCTCACCAGGACGCAGAAGACAGTCAGGAAATGCAGCCTGAAGACATACACACGTCACAGTGAGACCTATCATGAGTTTTTTTAATCACTTGATCCTGCTGTGTTTTTACATATTGTGTATTGTAATAACAACATTCTCAACAAAATATAGAAGCCAACAATAGTTGGTTTTAACAACACATCCCTCCATAAAACAGCTTGGGATGAGTGAGTTTCTATCCATCATCATAACCATACCTGGTTGACCGCATCAGGCCAATTCTGTGTCTCCAGACAGAAGGAGCTGTGCTTCCTGTACCTAACCCTGGCCTTTCCTGTCATAGAACCATCCAGGAAGTTAGCGGTGTAAAACTGGATTCCTGGTTGGCTAGTAGAAATCTCCAGGACCCGCCCACTGGCTGGGTGACACACTCTGAGATAAATAAAGACTTTATTATAAGCACAAGTACGCGTGTTGCTGTGTATAAAGTGTATGACTGTGTGTAGTGTGTTTTAATGGGTCTTCTTCAGCAAACCTGGCAGCGTGTCTCTCTGTCCAGGTGTCTCCAGGTGATGACAGACAGAAATTATGGTCAAACCCTGGACCTGGAACCTCCTTCAGTCGAGGGCCAATCAGAACAGGCTTTCTGAGGTCAAAGGGCGTGCCGTCCACGGGTCTGATCTCTCCTGAGGAAAGATCAGGTTATTGATAAGTGACTGTGTGTAACTAAACAAAGGTTAGATGATCAGACATGGTCTGTTCTCCTGTGAGAAATCTCAGCAACATCTGGCATCATCATGGGACTGCATTGATAAATCAGTCAGCAGCATAGCTGCAATGGAGTGAAATCTTAAAGGTAGGCTTTTGGATTCATTTAGAAACGCAGGCTGTAAGCAATATAATGGAGCAAGTGATTGCTACGGCAAGTAAATGAAAGCACAAACTGATATTATGTTCCTTGTTCACAGACTGCAATCCAGCCAGCCACAGGATGAGAGCTATTGTACAATTCATTTTTGAATGTTTTAGCACAAGTTCTATCTTAAATAGCTTTTCCAGCCTCAATTTTATCCTCACATAGAAATCACGGAACAAAATTCATTAAATTTAAAATCAACATTGTGATGAACATTGGCATCACTAAACTATTCTTAATATACTGTGTTACTGATTTCAAGGCTGTAAGAAGATAGGAAAGTGTTTTCAGGTGGCTGTTTCCTCAGTGTGTATTGTAATTAAGAAATGGCAGTTACAAGGAACTGTGGAGGTCAAGGTGAGGTCTGGAAGACCAAGAAAACTTTCTGAGAGAGGCGCTCAAAGGATTGTTAGAAAGGCAAATCAAAACCCCTGTTTGACTGCAAAAGACCTGCAGACATATTTAACAGACACTGGAGTGGTGGTGCACTGTTCTACTGTGCAGTGACACCTGCACAAATATGACCTTCATGGAGAAGTCATCAGGAGAAAACCTTTCCTGCTGCCAGTATGGCGCTGAAGCAGGCAGCTTTGTGAAATAACCTGTCATAAACGGTGTTGTCATAGTCTGACCGATGTTCGGTGCACATGCATTGGCGTCTGTGCTGTCCGTGTGAAAAGCTGTCAAAAAGGTGACTTTTTATCCAGTTGTAAGCCATATTTTACGCTACACTTTTAGATCCTGATTCTTTTATCTACACATTTTAATGAGGAAGAACTTTTAAGTCATCAGATGCCTGCATCTTAATTTAACAACTGGATGTGGACTGCCTCACTGCCACTAGCTTGCTACATTTGTATTTAGCCTGACGGCTAGACTAAGCTTTGAGCACTTTTATGGATTTTACAACTTACATGTGTGATGGCTGAGTGTGGACCTGAGTGTCATTCATGTCAGCTTACCATCACAAAGCTGCAGATAAGCATCGCTCGTCTGGAAGCCCAGCTCAGGGAGAAAGACAAGCTAATTTTGGAGTTTTCCTCTGTCGCTACGGCTCAGACTAAACACTTAGCCATCCCGGGCTCCTCTGGCTGTGTCAACAGCAAGGCAACCTGTCCATCTCACTCCCGTGGCTGCTCCATTCCAGAAACTGACAACGATCCTACTCTTCCCTGGACCAGCTCCATCATTGCAGGAGTCCTTGAGCATGTGTCTGTTTCAGCTCAGCATGAGGACCGGTGGTCTCTCCTGGGGGCTAAGCCCCGACCAGCGGACAGTACTCCCGCTCCAGCTGTGACTTGGTCGGGAGTGATAAGGCTCCGGTGAGCTCAACCCCATGTCAGCGGGAGCACTGGACTATTGCCTGCAAGGCCAAACACGGTGCAAAGCACCTGTCTCCCCCTGCCTCCCCCCGCTCCACCTCGGGACCTCCCACTGGCCAACAGGTACGACATCCTAAACATGCAGGAGTTTCCGCTGCTGAAGGAGTGCTCCAATCTTCCACTGCCTCCTCTCTCTCCAACCGACCCCGGCTCTCATTGGACCAAATGCCAGCTCCCTGCGCCGCAGCCAAAGTCTAGCAATCCCGGCATCGCTCTGGGTTCCAGCCCAGGGAGTGGAGTCTCTACAACGGCAGCTCCCTGTCCCCGTGTCCTGCATCGGCAGGATGGCTGGCGGCCCCAAGCCCACGAGACAACACCCACGTCAGATCATGACGCTGGTTATAGGTCACTCCATCATCAGAAATGTTAAAACACATTCCGCAATAATTTATTGTTTCCCAGGTGCCACTGTCCGCAAAATAGAGGAAAAGGCTATTGAAATTCTCATTAATGAACCAGACATCACCAAGGTCATTATACACGTAGGTGCAAATGACATCCGTAAACAGCAGTCTGAACTACTGAAAAGTGACTTTCCGCACTTGTTCTCCTCACTGAAGGATTGGCCAGGCATGTTTATGTGTTCGGCTCCCTCCCCTCCTGTGGCTGCGGTGTTGGGCGTTTCTCAAGGCTGTTGTCTTTGCACACCTGGTTGTCTTCAACCTGTGCTGCTCAGGGTGTCCCCTACATCAATAACTTCAATCTCTTCTGGGACTGCAGACAGCTGTTTAAAGATGATGGTGTATACCCAAATTGGCTTGGGGCATAATTACTGTCCTCAAACATTTCACACTGTGAAAATACAGAATTACTCTGTATTAGGGCTGTCAAAATTGCTCAAAAATGACGTTTGAATATTCCTTCTAAAAATAACTCATAGGTTCGAACCATTCGAATATTTTTTTTCCGCATTATGTCCACAAGAGTGCAAACTAATACAAAGAAACATACTTGTATATGTATTAATACAAGGAAACGTAACTACTATTTTTATTTCAACATAAATGTCTTTGAAAACGTTTACATACCTACACATTAAAACACATAAAACAATTATCTATAACATTACATTATAAACGACCGCGGACCTCTCGCTCGCCCCCCCTCTTTGACCCATGGCCACACCGCCCACGGAAGCGCTGCGAATAGCCTCGAAGCACCGGACCGTGACCGGCTCACACCCTGCAGCGATCGTTTCGGTGTCTGGTCTATTTTCTGCGCGAGCCGCGAGCGAATGTGTCAAGCTGGGTGATGGAGACAACAGCTGGGAGCAGAACCGCTTGTCGACCAGGCTGGAGAAATGCGCATTTGATGCCAACGCCCACTCGCAAAGAGGACAGCTGCGGTGGTGTTTTTTTTTCTCTCCACAATCGAATATCAATTTTCACATTCGAAGGTCCATGTTTTTTTTCAAATTCGAATTTAGAATATTCGTTGACAGCCCTACTCTGTATTGGGACAAGATGGCAGATGATGCATGGCGTGGTGAGACTGCTCTTGTGTTTGGTCGGTCTCGCTTACTACCTCACATTTATAAAACTGTCGATGGCAAGGTTATTGTTGAGGACAAATTGCTAAACTTCCTCACAGTAAAAATTAAGACTCTAAGCCAGGACGAAACTGTTTTATTGGCTACAACCAATTTTGACTCCGAGTGGATTGAATCCTCGAAAAAAGTTTTGTTTGATGTCTGCCCAACGTAGCAGCGGTATGTTTCACATAAAGGGCAACAGAAAGACGCCAACAACATAAAAAGCTGTCTCAAAATGTTGAATGAGTGCGGGGAGAATATTCCCAGATTTGTTTCGCATTATCTAGATGAACTGCCCCGGTGTCCTTTTCTAACATGGACGTTTCGAGCCTGCTTGGGAGAATGGAGAAAATGGATGTTGAACTCTGCTCTTTGAAGAAAACAATGCAGCTACAGGCTGACATAAGTGAAGAGCTCTGTGCTATCACTATGGACGTGAACTGCAGAGTAAGTGCACTGGAGTGACCCGCTGAGCTGGCTGTGGATGGAGGTTCGGCTAGGCCAAGCACAGGTTTGGCCGCAGAGGTGGCTAACCTGGCTGGTGCAATGACGGAGTCAGAGTCCACTGCACAGGGACCCTCGGGACCGAGCATTGGAGGAAGGGCCACGACGCAGAGAGCTCCGGAGCGGGGAGAGATGTCTGTGCTGGTGTTGGAAGGCCGTGGACGCGGAAGGACCTGTGATGGGCCGCTCTCCGGGTGGATTGCCATCTGTGTCTCGCTTTCCAGAGTGGACCAAGGTGGTTAGAGAGAGAGTGCAATGAAGTTGGTGAAATGTACACTCTGGAGCTCTGGCCGGAGGGAGCACTTGTCCGGCGGTTCTATGAGCCACGCAGGGCTGGAGTTGTCAGCGCAAATACGGCATCGGCCGCTATGGTAAGAAAGGTGCCTGCTGGTGCAATGGGCACTCGCCCATCAACATAAATGACTATGCGTATTGTCTCATACAACTTTCATAGCCTGCGTATGGGCCAGTGCACAGGGGATAAAGCTCACCGCATGGTTGTAGACAATTTGTTAGACACTTGTGATATACTATGTTTGCAAGAGACTTTTTTTTAGCAAGACAGGACTTAGAGAAATTAAACTGTCTTAATGATAACTTCCACGGGGCAGGGGAATCCACTACTGATCTCTCCATGGGGTTAGTTAGAGGGAGAATACCTGGGGGTGTCGCCAAGAAGCTGGACTCATTGATAAATGTGATAAGGCTTGGTGTGGATTGGTGTATGGCAATACACTGTGTCCATGATGGAATTTATGGTTCTAAATGTGTATACACCCTATGAGTGCTGTGATAATGAGGATGAGTATTTACATAGGCTTGCATTCATCAACTCTTTAATTCAAGATAATTCCTGCTCCAATATATATGTCATTGGGGATATGAATGCTGATCTCCTGGACAGCAAATCATTGTTTTCTAATCACATGGTTCGATGTTGTGAGGATAATAATCTTATATTGTCAAGCAAAGTGTTTCTGCGTACAGACAGTTATACATACATTAGTGAGGCTTGGCACACCACATCATGGCTGGACCGCTGTATCAGTACAGCTGATGCACATGCCTCACTGGGGGGTATGGACATTTTGTATGGTACGTCAACAACAGACCACATACCATTTGCCATGTTGCTAAATATTGATATTTTACCTGCGGTGGTAAGAGATGGTAGTCTCAGTACTGAAAAAATAGACTGGACATCTCTCACAAAGGATGACCTCCTAACTTATTATGGCCACACTAATGATCTGCTAAGTAATGTTCATATATGTAGAGATGCTGTCATGTGCAGAGATGTGTACTGTAAGGATGCTTTAAGGCAGCAAGCCATTTTTAAAGCATAAATCAAAG